ATCCAGTGGAGTTATTATTACTGAAACCTGCGCCCAGAATCCTGCCCAGAGGATTCTCTAGCTCATGTTGATGCGTGTTGTTTGTTTGTGCGTTTTCCTGATATTATCTGCTGCCGTAAAACAAATTGCCACCTCGGGGACAATCGAGAAACTCTCTCTCTCTTATTTATGTATGTAACAGATGTGTTTCCTTCAAAAAAATAATTCCTGTGTTATACAACACAGATATATCTGCATGTCATCTGACAAAACGGTTTTTTTATTCTCAGAATTACAGTGCAGTTAGACGAGAGCCACGCATCGTACTCACATGTGCCTCTGCGCCTGGATGATGGCGTTCACATCCTCAGAATTGACCATGCTGAGCATCCTGTCGCAGAACATGCCGGAAGCAGTCGGCTCCATGCTGAGCCTTCGGGCAAAGAACCAGCAGCGTCCTAAATGGACAAAGTAGATATAAACAAAAAGACACGCAAATTAAAAGCTGGTAAACTGAGACATAACTATGAAATCTTTCATTCATTAATCAAACAAAACGTTAAATCAGTGTTAAAGATATAGAATGTAAAGGGATCACAGAAATTTAAATGAAAAATGACAAGAAAGGAAGGAAAAAACAGACACTACGGGCAGTCTTGAGCCTACTCGATCAAACATCAGTGACAGGAGCATGCCCCAGCCACCCAGCTCTCACAGGGGTATCGAGGTGTTGTTGTTCTACACTCGGAGCAGCACACAGCAAGGAGGAGACCCCGCTGCTGGGAGGTCCCGGCGAGAGTGAGAGAAGCAGAAATAAGACGAGCTCTGGCAAATCATGACCACACTCAAATCGCTTCTAATGTAATGTAATGTTTGTAATGTTATGTAATGTAATGTAATGTTTCTTTATTAGCCCTATACAATTTCTTGCATTAGGAATTCGTCTTTTCGCATAACCCCAGCTTTTCTCCATGGAGACACAGACGCACCGAGAGGGAGAGAAGCTGGGGGTCAGAGTACAGGGTCAGCCATTTTACGGCGCCCCTGGAGCAGTTGGGGTTAAGGGCCTTGCTCAGGGGCCCAACGGAGTAGGATTCCTCTGCCGGCCGTGGGATTTGAACCGGCAACCTCCCAGCCACAGGCCCAGATCCTGAGCCACAGAGCTACCGCTCCGCCCCTCCGCCTTCTAATGTGCAGAGGACACCAATCCAGGCAGAACTGTAAATAGTGCCGTAACTGTATGAGCATCACACCAAGACGCAAAGACTACACCTGCCGAAACAGAACTGGATAAGGGCAAGTCACAACGAACAGGAAGCAGAAACACGAATCCCAGACATCAGATGGGCAGAAGAAGCAATGAATGGGGAAGATGCAGTAGAAGGGTGCAGGAGGTCCTTCCTGGTTTCTACAGCTGGGGCCTCGCTCGAAGCCGCACATGACCAGTGCCCGCATGTGCACTGAGCAGCTGCCGCGGTCTTCACTGAAGAGATTTACTTGGAAACACGGGAATCGAGTGCACAGCACCCCTGCAGCCTCAAAAAGCCACGTACTGTACCTCCCCAGCACCAGATAAAACGCATATACTACCATGCACGCTCAGAAGCGCCACCGGCTGTCGGTAAAGCCAGTGCATCGCAAGACTGGAAAACGACACGCGTGCAATTTGTTTACTGGTGTCAAGCCTAACTGTTCAGGAAGCGAATTTTAAAACACCTCACACACTTTTTTTTTTTTGAGACCGATTCGGCATTCCGAAGACGAAACGAGCAAGTGTCGATTCCGTATGAACCACTTCTGGACGGTTCCACAGTTCATTTTTTTTAAGTCCGCATCTTTAAAAGGCTCAGCCGACCTCCCGTTATTTGACAAGTGACGCGTATTTGAACCGGGGCTGCCAGCCTCCCCAATGCGCATCGTATCGCTCAAACTCGCACTGTCACTCGTTCAAGAAATGAAGAAGAGGAGAATGGGCATGATGCAGCTCTCGGATCCTAGACTTGTCTACTGAATGTTAGGAGTAACGCTCGGAGTTTGACATGATCTGGTATGGAAGACGCGAAATAAGCGGCATCTCTTCGTTTTGCTACATCTGTAAACTCACGCCTGCTTCGCCAAGGGTTGCCGTGGGTGTAATCCTGGTTAATGTTTACTTCCACAGCCTCATTTAGTTGTAGTAAATAAACGTCTCCAGCCCTTCCTCGGTTCAGCACGACTGCGCTCCGCTCACTTCCGTATTGCGGAAACGCACAAGGGACTTCCTGTCCGGCGCGGAACCACGTGTGCACGCTGGCGGAAGAGGCGGATTCCCAGGCCCTGGAAGTCCTGCGTTTTTAATCTAAAACACTGCCCGTTTCGTATCAATACAGCACCGATTACTGCAGGAGGATGGAGCACGGGCGATCTTTGGCCGGTGGGGGGCGTTGTTCCTGCAGGTTTTCCAGTGAAATATTAAATAAAGCAACAATCCAGCTTGTTTCCATGCCATATGTCCTCTCACTTTCAGAATTAAGAACAGCTATAAAGAAGAAGGATACCATTCGACCAGTCTAGCTCTCTTGGTATTTAGTGGAATTCGGTTGTTAAGTGATCCAGGGTTCTCCTTCAGTTGTTTCTTCAGTATCAGCTTCAACAACATGGACAGGTCACTTGTTTCATGGTGTATTGATATGAAACTGTATTGATATGAAACTCATACTCAGAAGAAGATCATTAGATCTCTGGCTTGGGCTTTGCCTTTCGTGCATTTACAGCATGTAACAATGCCAGCTTCAGAGCCACCCAACACCAGACCACTACAGGGATGTAGTAATGCGCTGTATCCCAACAGGCTTTGCAAACCTCCTGTGGCAGGAGACTGGTTCTCCAGCTCAGCTGATTGGTTCCTGAGAGATGAGTGCGAGATGCCAAAGGGCCTCAGGCCAGGGGCTCCCACTCCCAGGGCTGGAGTGCCACACAGTTGCCGGCCTTCCTTCCCACTGAGCTTCGTCACCGAGCTGGACTGAGAAGTTGCTTGATTGAAATATTTGCAGGATTTGTTTTATAGTCTGAGTATGTTATGTATGAAATGCAATATTTAAAGGCAGCCTCCAGCATGTTTAAAAAGAAGAACAATCTTTTGAATTGATAATATCAAGTCAATTAAGGGTTCAGTTATGCATCTAAGCAGCCGCGTGGTCCTTCAAGACCGGGACGGAGACCCCTTGCTTGGCTTGACCCCTGGATTATCATATCAATCACCAATCGATCGTATCATTTGTCAACCAGAAAACTACCTCCTAATCATGTGAAGAATGATCCGAGTCAACAACAACAGCAAGAATTCATAGCCAGTGAATCGAGCATCTTGGTTAAGACTTTATTTCAGACGTGCTGCTCAGTATTTACACCTCTCCCCACGTGACGTCTTTTATCCAGGACCTGTAGGCTGACACCCTGGTGAAGACAGCCGGCCTGTGCGCTGTGCAGGTCTTGCTGCCCCAGGTGAGCACGCCCCACAGGGAAGACACACCTTCTCTGCTGCAGACCAGCGCCCCTCCGGAGATCCCCTGGAGGGAGGGAGGACGTTTGACACAAATTCTCTTCAGTTTATTCGAGACTCTGATGGTTCACAGTCAGGCTCGGGGTTCATTCCAACTCCCTTTCAACCCACTGAAATGGGCAAAAAGTGGACCTGAAACCCCGACCTACTCAAAGTAATTCAACTTTAATTTAAGCAAGTATAGAGTATAGAAAAATCAGACTCTGTAAAAACAATACCTGTACATATACCTACATCGCTGTTCAGAATGTAGCAGAAGACCTCGTTGAACTGGGAGAGACGGGTTTAAATAAGAGGAATGTCTTATCGAAGACTGAGTAAATCCCCACACAGTACCGATACGGGAGACGTTTCATTCATACCAAATAAAATTCTAGGACACGCTACTTAAAGTGTAGTTGAATTGTAAACGTTTAGATGGTAGGAGAAATAAAAGATGCACCTTGCCCATGTCTGAGAACCGGTGCAGAAATGTAGTAGGAGTGTGGTATTTAGTAAGGTTTCAAAGAGATCTCATGCTGTAATGATGCCAATGCAAGTATTCCAGCCCAACCAAGACCTGTTGATTTTAACCATGGTGGTGCAATGCTGCATTTTGGAAATTGACTAAAAGGCAATGGCATGGTAGAGCATGTTCTGTATGAGTACAGATGCTGTTAGGCCACTGAACAACAGACAGCCCAATGAAATACACACAATGACCCATGACATCACTGATCACTGAGCCCTGGAACAGGCACGTGCTTGTCTCGGCTCCGAGAGGAGCAGTGCAGGATCCCACCAGACAGCAACTGTGGCCTGATGTACACAAGACTGCCCTGTGCTGTAGCAGACATTAACCAACGCAAGTCTGGTCAACAAAATAGCAGCATGCCCCCAACAAGAAGAGATATTTTACAGATAACTCTTTTAATTTGTTGCAATTATCAGCAATACGTTACTTTTGACACTTAGTTAACTGTATATTTAGGATGCAATGGTAAAATGGCTGTTTTAAATGAAACAACAGCGGGATTTGAGCAGAAGGCACAGAAACGACATGAATGGACTCTCTTTCACAACAGTGCAGATTACCAGAGTGTGTTCCCAACAATTAAATCCATTACCAATCAGCTACAGTATAGCCCATCTAAATAACATGATAAATAACATTAAAATGTCCGTCATCTCGAGCACTGTAAAGTATGAAATACTGTATCTGTACAGATGTTACCGTGTTGTTGCAAGAGCGAATGGAAATTGAAGAATATACCATGCAAGATCTGGATCCAGCTGCCCCTGCACAGATGTGGGTCTTAAGAATAAGGTCTTCTCCCCAGCTCTTTCTACAAGACGTTTCATTAACCAGCTGTATTCTGGCCTGGCGCAGCACATCCGGGTTAATATTTGCTGGAAACGGATTGGAAACAGACACTTTGAGAGACGTTTTTAAAGGGAAAAAAAACCCATCTCACTAAACACACAGCAATATTTTTTAAAAAAAGAAAAACTAGCACAAAGTTTTCAAACTACATTATAATGAAACCTCAAGGGGAAAAAAATATTGAAAAGAATAAAGAATTTAGGACGAGCCCTGAAATCTGACTTTAAAGGGAAGAGTAAGCAGAAGGGCCTTTAGTGAACTTCAGCCATGATTTTTCTAGGGTTTTGGCCCTCTCGCCCTCAATCCAACGTGCGTGGCCTTGAAGATGGGTTTCCTAAAGCACAGTAACAGAAGCTGCACACAGGAGTCAGGGTCCCCGAGTGCAACAGGCGTTCCACACTCGCGTCCCGGATCCCGCCGAGGAGACCAAACAAAAGGTGGGAGAGCGATTGCGTTGCCAGATCCGACCCAGGCTGCTTCCCGAAAGGGGCAGCAGGGATTTGACTCACGGGCAGCGCTGCTGGACCCCCAGCCCGTCGTCACACAGGACCAGCTGTCATCCAGGTCGACGCTCTCATCCGGCAGGCAGGCCGGAGCCACGGCGTCACCTTCACAGGAAGAAAAACCACCGCAGATTCACAAACCAGCGCGGCTGCGAAATACATTCTAAACACGTTTGAAGAGGGCGGCACCTCAGTAGCTGCCATTGCGGTCTCGCACCACTGGGGCCCTGGGTTCGAGTCCAGACCTGGAGAACTATCCGTGTGGAGTTTGCATGTTCTCCCCATTTTTGCATGGGTTTCCTCCAGGTGCTGCAGATTCCTCCCACAGTCCAAAGACATACCAGTAGGTTAAATAGGTTCTGGGAAAAGTGGCCCTGGTGCGAGTGCGTGTGTGTCTGTGTGTGCTCTGTGATGGACTGGCGTCCTGTCCAGGGTGTGAGTGTGTGTGTGTTTGTGTGTGCCCTGTGATGGACTGGCGTCCTGTCCAGGGTGAACCTTGCTTTGCACCCCTTACTTGCTGGGATAGTCCCAGCTCCCCTGCAACCCTTGATTGGATACAGCGGTTACAAAATGGGATGGACAGACATCTTTATTCATACACACTGCAGGTTCGATAGGAAAGTGCCTCCTGTGCCCTGTCAGAAGACCCAAACATGCACAGAACATATCGGAGCCTCTGGGCGACAGGCCGCGTCTTCAGATCGCGCTGCCGGCCAGTCCCATCCGTACCTAATCTGGCAGGCGTCTGGAGGCGGACCAGAGTCAGGTCGTCAGTCGGGGGGAAACTCCCATTATCCGCAAGGCTGTAGACCTCATCTACTCGGATGATCTGCGCTGGCATATACGTCAAGTCATGTGCGCCCAGGACCACATCATCGGTTTTAGATCTGCAAAAACAAACCGCATCCAACTCCACTCATATTTAACCTGCAAACAAAAAGGCTTCAGTATTATGTAAATTGCAACTGTATTATGGAATTATGCTATTTTGCAACACTACTGGACTTCCTATTATTGTAATAAGCCTCTGGACAGTGCTATGGAAAGCCCTCCCCAGCAGGGGGCGCAGGCGAGGTACCTGCAGTCGCAGTGCCGGGCGGCCAGCACCCAGCGGGGATGGATGAGGGTCCCGCTGCAGAAGTGCTGCCCGTTGCTCTGCAGGCTGACCTGCCAGGGCCAGGAGTGCGGACAGGCCACGGTCACGTTTTCCACAGTGGGCCTGCCTTCGTCCAAGCCAACCACCTCTGCGAAGCCCGAGCTCATTCCACAAGGCTTAGTACTGCTCGTGCCGCAGAAGTCTGGACAGGGCAAGAGTTTCAACAGATTGCTGTCCTCAGAGCACATGCTAATAATTTACTAAAAGAAGTACCAAATAATTCCACATAAAAGTCAGAAGGGAAATCTCCATCAATGCTATTTGACACACTACCAGATCTGCAGAACTGGGGGATCCTTAAGAACAAAGGTCTTCCTGGACACAAATATCAGGGCTACTCATTTTGCAATCCTTTCCAATTCACTCCATTGCGGTATTCAGATCCAATCTGCTGCTAAATCTATAATCTATAGTGCAATTAACCATGGATCTGATTATACTCAAGATCGGCAATGGAGCAGATTAAAAAGGCTGGAGATCGTGTGGGCCTGTTTTTAAACCATCATGTCTCTTCAGAGACAAGATTAAAGGAGCAGAGTGACCCAGACCCAGGCTGGTGAGACTGTCCCAAAAAACAAAGATCAAAATCCTACCATTGCGCTTGCCTGAAACTCCAGCAGCTCCCTCTGTTCTAACAAGGAAAAACAGCATTAAGAACACAGTGCATGGGTGCAGCTTCAAAAGAATATCAGCACCTTCCCAGACAATAGATTTACTTTTACAGCTATGACCTCGAAACCCAACAGAAACTTTTCTTTAAAAAAAGTTAAAGGTGGTGGTGGTGGTAGAGGGGATCCCCATTACCTGTAAAGCGCTTTGAGTGGATTGTCCAGAAAAGCGCTATATAAGTGTAAGCAATTATTATTATTATTATTATAAAAAAAAGGTCTCATGTAGGACCCAGGCTTCCTCAAATTCACAGCTTGCCATGGAAGAAAAAAAAAAGCCTAAAAATCTTCATTTTCACCGGTCTTTGCAAGCGACATGTAAGGTTCCTGGAAGGCGCCGTGCGTGACCACGCTCACCCTGAATCCGGTCGCTGATCCAGTCCAGGAAGTGAAAGACGTCAGTGTACACGCCCGGCTTCTCCCTCCGCGCACACCCCACCCCCCAGCTCACCAGGCCGCCCACCGCAAACCTGCTCCCCTCCGCCTCGCAGGACAGGGGCCCCCCCGAGTCGCCCTGGAAACACAAGGGGGGCCTTCACCAGAGTAGAAAGAGCAAACGGAGAGGACCACCCTGTTCCTCCGAGCTCCTGCGGAGGACTGGACGACCGCAGATTCAGAGCCGGGACAGGGAGAAAGAGACACGGACTCCTTCACTGTGCACAGACTGAAAAAAGACAATCACCCTTTTAACAAAGTTTATATATACTGTAGTAGAGATTGCACGGCTTGCTAGAATGTGTTCTTATTGTAATATGTCTATTGTGGAATAAAGTTTATTTTGCTAAAAAAATACAGAGAGGATATCTCCAACACCTAACAGAAAGCCACTTAAGGTTTTTTGTGTTTTATCAATCTAAGGATCTCGAAATGAGTTTCAAAAATACGGCTTGGTATTTATACCCAGTAATCCACAGAGTATAATAATCCATCACTATTATACTAGATAATCCAACAAATATAATACTCCATCAATATTTCAACAGATAATCCACACTTGAATAAAGTGGGGAATGTAGTAGCCCTTCTGTTTTCAATCCTACACCTCTTAATTTCTGTTCGTGGTTTCTTGGGGCATTGGAGCCCGCCTGGGGTGGAGCGGTGGCTCTGTGGCTCAGGATCTGCACCTGTGGCTGGAAGGTTGCTGGTTCAAATCCTGCAGCCAGCAGAGGAATCCTACTCCATTGGGCCCCTGAGCAAGGCCCTTCACCCCAGCTGCTCCAGGGGCGCTGTATAAATGGCTGACCCTGCGCTCTGACCCCAAGCCTCCCTCCCTGTCTGTGTGTCTCATGGAGAGCAAGCTGGGGTCTGCGAAAAGACAAATTCCTAATGCAAGAAATTGTATCTGACCAATAAAGTGATCTTATCTTATAGTCAGTGTGGACTTGGAAAAGGTACAGTAGGTCTTCCTTAACTAACCTCTTAGATTTCTTAGAAAAACTACAACATATTGTGTGGAATATTTATATTTTCAGAAGACTCTGAATTATGTTCCTCAAATTATTTCTCACATCGCAGGTAACAGGCACTCAGAGGGTAAGTGTCTGGATGGGGAAATGTTTCATGGTCAGAGAATACAGAAACGGGATGTTTCACTATGGGCGATATGTTGAATGTGAAGAAACTACTTACAATATGAAAAGAGTTTGTGTTCGCAGATCATTTTAGTCTCTTGGATATAATGAAAAAGCCAAAGCTGGTCTGGAAGTTAACGAACAGCATTTGAATTGAGGGATGTTAAAATCGTTTAATGTGTCAATATTCTAATTTAGATTATTTGTAAGCAATAAGCAAAGTATAAAACAGGTTAAATATTCACAATGTGTGAATAAAAGACGCATGTGAAAATTGTATTGAAGTGCATTTAAAACCGAGCACAGGAGGTGCTTTACACAAAGCGTCATTGGAGTATGGAACAAGCTACACAGTAATGCTAGAGAAGCTGACACTATGGATTCCTACAAGATATGGGTTAGTAGAAGTCGAAATTGTCCAAATAACTTTCATTTCATGCCCTTATGATTCCTGTGGTTGATTGTTAAAGTCTATGAGCTTGATGTCTTACAGCTGTATGACACTACACTATATTGTGTTTGAAAATGCATTGTACTCTTAAAACAGCAGGACCTGAAGCAGGAAACCCCCATCTCAAAAGAATCAGGCAGTGATTCCCACAGGAGCTCACTGGGAGTTAAACACCACTGCGGTGTCACACCTGGACCATCTCTGTCATCACTAAAGGCTTGGCAAGATAGTAGTGCAACTACACAACTGTCACTAAGTCATCTCGACCGCCATCTGCCTACCTGGCAGGCGTCCTTCCCGCCCTCTGCTCTGCCAGCACAAACCATGCCGGCACTGATGCTGCTGCTGTAGAACTGGCTGTTGCAGGTGTTCTGATCCAGGATGGTGATGTTGACTTCCTGCAGTCTCAGAGCCCGAGGCCCGTCTGAATTGATACAGCACATGCATTTTGCTGAACATTTATGAATTAAAAACTAATCAAATTTAGGTGTGCTTCAGCAGTATTTGTTAACCTGAATTAAAAAGGATTATTTCAAAAAAAGAAAACTAAAAATACTGGACAACTTAAATGGCAGATGAAAAAGACTAAACAGTCTCCAACTCAATCTCCAAGTCTCGTTTCTTTCTTCCAATGTGATCAATTTAATATAATTCCAAATAGATTTGAACTCTGTGTTCACCAACTGGTTTGGGAAGCAATAAGAACTCTCAATTTAAAAAAAAAACAACCTTTGATTAACAGTAAGATCAATTTTGTTTAGTGCACTTACTTTCACTTGTTGTGCCCCATCCAGTCACAGTGCACAACTTGGAGGGCTGGAGCTCTATAGTCGGTAGGAGGACTGGTCTCACACAATTATTGAAGTCCAGAGGCTTCTCCAGCTTCAAAAGAGCGATGTCATTCTTGTGCGTCTTGGGATCGTAATCTTTGTGGCGAAGGATTCTGGAGATTCCAACAGTCTGCAAAAAACCCCACTGAACCTGCATTGGAGTGGTAACCATGCAAGCTATAAAATATGCTTTAACACCCACTTAATACTCCCCCTAGGATATTAAACTGGTCAACACGTGTACTACTTTTTATACTACCAATAGTGGCATAAAGGGCTCCTTATTAAAAGAAGAAAGTCACAATCCAAGAGCAAGCTATAAAATTACAGCTTAATGGAAACCAAGTACGTCACTTCTTTAGGTTCCCACCCTTGCCCCCCTTCGCCCCTCACTGCCTGGGCTCGAACCCGGGTCTCCAGCGTCACGCAACAGGGAGCTTGCCAGCTGAGCTAAAGGAAACTTCCCCAGCCCGGGCGGCTGAGATCCCTGTTATACACAGGGGCATATTTGTTACACGCAGTACATCTTATTAACTACTGTGTGTATGCACCACCTCTTCCATCTCGGAGGAATTGAAGAAGTGCCTCATCAGAAGGACAGATTTAATCCTGAAATTCCTGTCTGCTGGTGTAGAAGCTGTTTCTTCACGTTGGGTGCTGCACCATGGGGAGAAGGCAGATGGTGCCCAGTAGGATACCCCTTTCAGCCACAGAACATGGGGGTTTACCTGCTGGCATGTCTCCTCCAAATTGTCCAGGTCATGTTTCCCAGCCAGGACTTTCCAGAGTACTGGATTCGAGTATCTGGAATTGAAAAAGGTTTCTTTCTCTCAGCCAGGAAGTTGAATGAGCCTCACCAAGTGGGAAAACACCTATGTGACAAAACCACACCAAACTCCCTCTTCCATCCCATGGTTTGGGATGCACTGATGTCAGGAAAAGAAGTTCTGCCATTCCAGGCCATTATTACATTAACATTTTCTAAACCTGTAGTAAGGGGCATAATATATTCATGAATATATACTCCACTCCTTTTCATTGCTTTTCTTGAAAGCCAAAAGCAACAAAGCCATGTGGCTTCAATCTCAGGGCATCAAGGGCCGATCGAGGTCCTTGGTCTTTTTAACCTGGTGTGAGTTGCCCAGGTCATGGATAATTCACGCGTGTTAGACCTCACACATATTTCTATTATTTTGGTCTGAAAACTACAGTACATCTCAGAAAATGGCAAATGCACAGGAAACCTACACCATTAACACCACCCTTGAAAATCTTTACGTGCGGTGATGCACATCAGGCTGGAGGAGAACAGCAGCAGCATCAGTTGAAGTAGGATCATGGAGACTGAAGGACTGTAAATCTTATATCCATATTTCTTTCAGACAGACCTTTGACATTCGAACACTGCTGTAATACTAAAAAGTATTTTCTGTGCCTCTGATGATTGATTGTCCCAGAAACAAAGTTGTAGTTTTAAGCCAACAATAATTTTAGAGTATTGAAAAACTTTCTCTAATATTTTCCATTACTCTACATACTGTACCTATAAATTATGGAGAATGCCTCTCAAGTCTCGCATCATCTCCAGCATTTTTAACTCCTAGATTGATCATATTTGACTTGTAACATGGGGGTTCTAAAGGATCAGATACAATGGACTTGAGAATTATTAGCACCCTTGATAAATAAAGAAAAAAGCTGCATAAAATAAACAGCCCAGATAATGAGCTACATTTTATGCCCCCCAAAATGGGAAAACTACAGACTTTTGTTTTGAAATGATTGTATTAGAATAAATGTTTTTAACTGAGCAGTTCTACTGTATTTTGTTCACAAAAACACAAGTGTCAGAATTTTTGGATTCCCTGTCTCTAGTATTCAGTTTAATCTCCTCTGGCACGGATTATAGAACACAGTCTTTTCCTACAATATTTTAAAAGGGATTGGACCAATTCTTTCAATAGCATCAAACCTTTGTTTCAAAGCATGAATTTTTTAAAATATCCTTAATGCTTTAACTCAGCAGAACTATTCAATATGTTTTTAATTATATCATTGACATCTAATGTTTTAAGGCCACTTCTTGGCTTCTTGACCCGTGTCTACTCCTCTACATTTTGCTGAGGAATTGTCATTCATCCAAATCGTTATTCTGAGCTGCGCACTCTCTGTGCAGTATGACATTGTGTGATTTGGGGAAAAAAGAGAAAAGCACATCTCATGAAAGTGCCTTTTCAGGTTACAACTCCAGTTTAGTGTCACACTCCAGCATGATATCCAGCGTCTGTCGGATGTCACAGGACCTTGACTAGGAGCCACGAGTAAATCATGCTGGAGACAGCCTGCGGGGCTACAACCCACCAGAGGGCAGTCCGGGACCCCCAGAGTGCAGCGCTGCTCACGACACCCCCGCCGTGAGCAGAGCTGAGGAGGTGCGGGTGGGTTCCGGAGACTCACATGTTGAAGCAGTGTGCGGCTGTCAGGACCCACAAGGGCCCGATGATGGCTCCTCCGCACGCAGGGGTCGTGATGACCTTGAGGCAGGCCTGCCAGGGCCAGGAGTGGGCCCAGGCCTCCATGCCCCCCACAATGCGGTCCTGAGGCCCCTGCATGGGCATGAAACTGCGCCACCCCGCGATATCTGCAAAGACACGTGGGAATGGGCCACACTTTATAAGACGTGCAGCACAACGTCATTCCAAGTATTCCAGCACACTGCAGGCTTGTGTCCAGCTTCGCACCTGCCTCCCACTCATCCAGGAGCAGGGAGTGACCTGCTGTCATGGACACTAACAACGCAGCACAAGGCAAGGGAGCAGACATGAAGCCTCCCGTCCCTAGTGCTGGTCTACAGACTTCAACAGGGGTGGTCAACCCTGGCCCTTGTACAGCCCCAGTCCAGCAGATCTTACAGGTCACTCCCTGACTTGGAACACACGAGCTCTGATCAATTAAGTCAGCTAACTGGTTTAATTAAGTCTAGCATGGCCGGTTGTGGTCCTTGAGATCTACTTGCAGTTCAAGGGATGTCCTATACGATCTAAATTGAAAGAAATCATCTGCTTCAGTGAGCAAAAGGGAACTTAAGGAATTTACGATTTAAAGCCTGATGGGTTTGGACACCCCTGTACTAGAGCCTGCAGTGGAACCCAAACTGCCATTCAGCAGCAGGAGCGCGATCTGCCGTGGTCTAGTGCCATCTGCTGGACAAGACGCGAATTGCTCAAACAGGCAGATGAGGTAAAGGACACTTGTTTGAGCCCTGAGCATCCTTCTCTCCTGCAGTGAAGGTAATAATAATAATAATAATAATAATAATAATAATAATAATTGCTTACACTTATATAGCGCTTTTCTGGACACTCCACTCAAAGCGCTTTACAGGTAATAGGGTCTCTCCTCAACCACCACCAGTGGTGTGCAGCATCCAGGTGGAATTTATCACCAAAATAAATGCTCTAAAAAAACATTCTCCATGATTCTTTTGCATCTAAGAGGTCAATTGCAATGCAAAGCACTGAATGACTCCAAATCACAGAGGGAATCATTTTGACGATATCATAAACTACTAGAAAGAACACCCTTTTGCATTCCTTTTAAAGGTGCTCTACAATATTACAATATAAAACTTTACAACAGAATTTAAATGTTACAAAGCTTAAAAAAAAGATCCCAGATGACACAAATCACCCCCCAAAACAAAACAAAACACTGAAGGCTTCCAGGCTAGGTTTAATAAAAGCACCCACTGTGGCCGAGCCGTCCCGGCTTCGACATCAGTAATGCAACGCAAGTACTAAAACACCTTCCAGTGTCAGGTGTAGTGTAGAATCGGATCTGAGCATCTTCAGTATAGACAGAATGATTCATACCAGGTACTTCTAGGTTTTGACCAAGAGGAATCATGTAACAACAAAGGGTTTTAATCCCTGTAGGGAGGGGAGGTGTGTACTGAGAGATTGGTAATGCAGCCATTGACACCCCTTTAGATACTGTCGTTTTTCCATGACTTACCCTCATTCTCCACGCCAAGCAGAGAGGAGCTCAGTGTTTTGGAGACTAGCGTCAGGGGACCTTCCGGCTGGCCTGTCCTAGAGTTAACTGGAACAGCAGCCACACCTAGGTTTTGAGGGGGGGGAACAGAAGAAAGTTCACACGTTTTCCAATTTCAAGGTAAGTTTCCTTATCGCGGTTTGTAAGCCAGGACGCACTACGTGCAGGTTACCCGAGAGTATAAGCGGGAACTTCGAAACTGCGAAAACTCAGTGAACGCAGCGAATGTTTTTTTTTTATTCTTACCTTATCTCGATAAATCACTTATTATTTCATAACAAGAAACGATCAGCCTTTTATATTTCACTTCAATACAATGTTTCTTCCGTCCTTTCATAGAACATTTGATTAAGGTTACGATTAAAATATTGTATTACTTCTTACCAATATCTATCTTCTGTGATACCAAACACCAGATGACGAAGAACAGAAACATTATTGAGCCAAGTCCCCCTAGCGAGACCTATGCCGTTGTTAGGATGAGATTAGCATGAAACATTACAATTGAAAATAAAAGTTTATTAAAACATACGCCAGTATTTTAAAAGTGCAGTCACCACCATCACGCCCAAAGATTTTTTTAAAAACTGCGTCGTAGCACAGGTACCGCAGCTGATGAATGCATCACACCTGATACCAATCAACTTCTGCGAGTAACTGGTTCATCCAGGAACGAGGTAGAGCGGTCAGTGATCGTATTATCTAAATTAAAGTAATATTTAAATACAAATGTTATACAATTATATTTACTCCACAACAGTGGCATGAAATACATTTACAATTCACTTATACTGTATCATTGAAATCACGTCAGATCAGATAAAAGGTTAACTGCAAAAATAATTAGAAATGTGAAACCAGTTGCTACGTTGCAAAATGCGTTTTGTCTGAAAAAGATTTTTAATTCTCCTATGTTTATATCTCCTGCCTGCTCAGTTGTATCTCTGCGGTCAGATTTCATTTCACAGTTCAAGGTAGAGCTACGCTGATTACATCTGAAGTGCACTGGAAGGGTAGTCTTGGCATTTCATTTAGAACCGTGGTTCTCAAACTTTTTGGACCAAGAACCACCCCTGATCAAACCAAAGCTTCCAAGTAACACCTACAAGTCATCTTCTCATAGGAACCCCAGAATTTCTCAATGACCAACATGAGCATGCGCGCACACACTCACACACACACACATATAATAAAATAATAAATATAATAAAAATAGCACTGAGCGCTTACTATTTCAGTGAGAGGGGTTAGCCTGTTTCATCGAGCAAAGCCTTGCAATGTAAGGGACGAGGGCAGTGAGCTTCAAACGCAAATCTGGCTCAGCATAAAAAAAAAATAATGAGAGGGCTGGGTATTTACTCTGTCTTTGGATCCAGAAATCCAACAGTGACTGTCGTTTCAATTCTGACTTTAAAGTCGCATCAGATGAAAACTTGAGCAACATCTCTAATTCAGCACAGGTCAGATCCAAGATGTCTTTATTTGCCATACACAGCAAGTGTATTGAGATGCTTACTCATCCAGCTGAACCCAGTAACATTAGAGAAAAAAACAATATGCACAGATGACAAACAGACATGGACAATAAATTTAGACAATAGACGTTATTGTACAGCCAAGACAGGACATAGTGCAAATAGTGCAGTACCTTAAAGTGCAGATGCTAATTTGAGCTGTTTAAGATGCGGACTGCTTGGGGGAATCTATTGGTTAGTGTTCTGATACTGGGATACCTCCTACCGGAACCCAGAGGTGAAAGCAGATCGTGGCCAGGG